ACGTGTATTGACTTTTCCCAGACTGACGAATAAACATGATATCAAATCTTTTTTAGGATTAACTGGATATTACTGGCATTACATCAAATCTTATACCGATATTGAAAAACCGTTAACTGACCTACTGAAAAATGACACCCAATTCCAGATGGCAGAAGAGCAGGAATGGAGCTTTGAAAGATAAAAAAAAATCGTTACCTCTGCTCCACTTTTAAAATCCCCAGATTTTTCAAACCTTTTATTCTGGCTACAGACACCTCTAATGAAAGCTATAGGTGCAGTATTATCACAAGAAGATGAGAGAGGTAAAATGCCAATCGCTTACACAATACTCAATACTCAATACTCAATATTCTTTATTTAGCACCAATTGGTGCATTCTCAGCACCGTATAATACATAGCTGAGAGTTTTCCTGTACAGTTACATATTATAGTACATATTATATTACTTATATGATACATATAGTATTGCATATATATTATGATGTTACATGATGTTACATATATATTCGCGTAACATTATATTTATACATATGTACAAATTTACTAAACAGAAATAAGCAGATATATTTATACATTTATACATATTTAAAATAAACAAAATAAAAGTACTTAACTTAATTAAAAACTAACTTAACCTAAATATTACAATCAGTCAGTTGTTTAGCCTGTTATTGAGTCCAGTATAACACTATTGACAACCATCGAAGTTCCTGTTTTCAAGAGATCCTGTTGTACAAAATAATTTAACGAATAGTCAGCCTTGTGCACTTTAGCAGTTCTTGCACTCAGCTGCAGATGAGATGTTACGACACATTATCTTCTAGGAATTTCTAATATTCTGCATCGTATTGACAAACATCCTTTGTCGTTTGAACAGAAATCACTTGCTTCAGCTGTCATTGTCACTTCTGGTTGCTGCCAAGTATCTCCGCTGGTATCCAATAGTATTACAGAAAACGTTTTTGCATATTGTTACTGTGATTTAAATTTTTTACATTTGTCACCGTTCGTATTATTAGCTTTGTTATAAAGTTAAAGTTCTTTATAACTTTGTGTTAATAACTTTATCTCATAGGTGTCTTTGTTTTATTTTAATATGTGTGATGTCATTGTAACCAACTATCAACCACTATCATAGATCCTATTAGACATCTAAAACCATACAGGAAACAGACAAATGCAGAAAACCAAACTAGTTATCTAACCAAAATCATTATAAAGATAATAACACAAATTTGTGTTGTTCCGTTCAGAGATATATATTTATGCTTTATTGATTTAGAAATAAGCAAATAGAACAGAAAGTCCAAATTATGAACCGAATTATTCAACAACCTATGTTATGGTATTCATACTGAGGAAGTGTTTTAAAAAAGGAATTCATTTAGGGATTTTCTTATTTTGAATTCTACGGTTTAAGTTTTTACTTAAGAGTTACAACAAGAACTATCCTAATATTACACGGACAGAACATACCTAGCTTCAAAACTCATGCTTTACTACCAACCAGAAATACCAGTGTCAAAATATATAACCAGTCTTATACAATAGAATGTTAAAAGTAAAAGGATTGTTAATCCCTAGTAGCGAGATTCTCTATTTTCTGGTGTTTATTAGTTAATTGCAGGAAAGCAGAGAAAATATCTTTGTATTTTATGAGTTCTTCATATTGACATCGCCAGTTTAGGTTGTATTTGAATGTTAAAATTCTTAGGTTGTCTCTCAGCTTCCAATGAAATACAATAAAAGATATGGTGTTCAACATCACCCAGTAATCCACAAATAGCACACAGGTCATTTTGTTTATTCGTAAATCTTTGCAGATACTTAGAAAACTTCCCATGCCCAGTAAAAAACTGAGTAATGGGGGAACTTGGAATTACCCATTTATATCTATCATGGTAGTCTTTAATATTGGGTATAAATTTGTATGTTATGTCATTATGCTTAGAATCCCATGTAATCTGCCAACGATGTAATAGGTCTTCGTATAATAATTTTCTAATGCCTTTCCTACATACTTTATCATAGATTGTATCTAATGTTTCATCGATTGCAGCTTCTTTAGCCAGTTTGTCCACACGTTCATTACCTGCCGTGCCCTGATGTCCTCTGATCCAGGATATTGTATAGACGTTGCTGGAGTTATATATCAAATGTCGTATGGTTGTTGCAATCGGATGAAGTTGTTTGCTGCAGATAACCTGTATTGCTGAAAAAGAGTCGCTGAGAATATGGACATTGTTGTTGGTAAAATTCTGTTCTGTCCAGTCAATAGTCATTTTAATTGCAAGCAGCTCTGCTTGAAATACACTGCATGTTTTATGTAGTTTTCCCTTTTGAGAAAAAATTTCATCGCCATTACAATATGCGACAATAGCACATCCNACAAACGGCCACCAGGCACTATCAAATGCTTTTGATATGTCAAGGCTAATTGCCAAGACATATTTGTGTTCTTCAAGTAAATATTTGATTTTATGACCAGCATAATTTATTGCATCACTGGTGGACATTTGTTGTCTGAATCCGAATTGTCTGTTGTTTAATAGGTTATTTTTCTCGACGTGCCATGTTAATCTGTCAGTAAGCAGTCGTTCAAGCACCTTGCCGAGTGTTGGTAGTAAAGAAATCGGTCTTGTTTCATTTGGTTTATTAGGTTTAGGAACAGGTACAATCTTGGCAATTTTCCATCTAGTGGGAAAAATGCCATGACGCAGACATATATTGTATAATTGCACGAGTTTTTGTGGTATCATTTCCCAAATATTTTTTGCTATTTTTGCTGTTATTCCATCGATACCAGGAGATTTACCATCTCGTAGCCGGTATATTGCATTATTTATTTCCTGATATGTAAATCCAGGAGAATTACCTGTATTCATTTCTGTGCTTACATTTTCTCTTAAATGCTTCTGCCAAGGAGTATCATTTGCAGCATTGTCAGAAATACAGTAATTATTCATTCGTTGTTTCAGTATATCCAGGAGATTGATATCAGGCGAAGATTAATTTATTATTTGAGGATCTTCATTTATCAGTACCTGTTGTTTTCGCAATTTGTTTGTACAGAGTTTTGTCAGGTATCCCCATGGATTTGCTGATGCTGCAGTGCAGTATTCTCGCCAAGACTTTATTTTTGCATTCTTTATTTCTTTTTGATATTGGACTTGATGTGAGTAATATTGTTGTTTTAGTGTAGTACGGTTTGGCTCATTTCTGCATCTTTGGTATCGTCGTCGCAAGAAATTATTCATTTTTCTTAGGTCCGTGAGCTTATCACTCCACCACGGCACAGATCTTAAGCTTGGTTTTGTTTTTGGAATATATCTGCGACAGGCATATTCAATTTTATTAATATTATAATCTAAAGTTTGCTCATTGTCTTCCCGACTGTTGATACTATATGGTAATAGATTATCCAATAAATAGTATCGCATGCCTTCCCAATTTGCCATAGCAAGGTTAAACCTTGTTTTGTCTGCAGTGGTAATTTGTGCATTGCCGTTGTGTTTCAATTGATAAGAAATATAAGCATGGTCGCTTAGGCTATTTTCAGGATGTACTCTCCAGTTTTCAATCTCATTGTCGCATCCAGAACTGTAAATTGCAACATCTATCCAGGTTTCCCCTTGTCTTGATACATATGTGGGAAGTGAAAAAGGATTATTTAGTATCTGCAGACCATTGGAGGCTATAAAGTTTTCAAATAAGTCACCGCGCTTATCATATTGATCTCCACCCCAAGTAGGTGAATGTACGTTTATGTCTCCTGCTATAACAAATTTAGCATTACTAAATTTATTTAATATGTTCTGTATTTTATCTATTATTTCGTTAATGTTCAAATCCCGTGGGCAATATATGTTGATAATTATATATGTGTTGCTATTAAAATAAATTTCATTGCAAACGATATATTCACTGGACAAAGTTTTATGGTGAAGAATAGTATAGTTACTATTAGTAATAACGTTAATAGCCCATGGATAGTTATTTGTGCCCGTAAGAATTGAATAATGTGTAGGTAAACAAGCCAGGTTGTTGTTTATACAATAGGGTTCTTGTATTAGTAATACAGTAAAGCGTCGATTTTCCGAAAGTCAATCATCCGAAAGAATTCCAGTCGGCAAATTTAAATTTTCGCCAGTGCTGTGGCACTTCAATCTTTGGCTATGTCTTGGGCTACTCAAATAGTTTACGTTTTTGATACTAAATTAACATCTGAAGTATCATTTTTTATTATTTTTTATATTTTTCAATATATTTATTTTGTTTGCACAAAATAAAAAAAATAACTTTTAACGATACAATAGTCTTTGTTAGGCTTAACATCGATGAAAATTCAATGCGAAGCGACACGCAATGGAGAAAAATTTTGACATCGGATACGTTAAACTATTTTTTCGTACGTAAATCGGTTATCCGAAATATCAGTTATCCGGACAACCCCAGTCTCCAATTGATTCGGAAAATCGACGCTCTACTGTATATCATAATTGTGACTGATAGATGCAAGAAGGGATGTAGCTGATATTCCTCTTCCTAAGTTTATTTGCAGAAAACATATATTGTTGTTACCGTTAGAATCCATATTTCGTTCATTCGATGATAGTGTTTCTAGTTCTATTAAAAATGGGACAGCAGTTATCTCTTGCATTATGATTTGTATTATTAAATTTGTTGTGACAACAGTTGATACATCTGTGGGTTCCCAGACGAGGTTCGAACTCGAGTAAACCGTGAAATTCTTGCACGACACGAGATGTAAACAACGAGACTCGGAACGGTTCGAGTATGTGTCAACTATCTGATAAGGTTTTAGCGGAAGACAAACTCTAACATGAGCGCTCATAAACAGGTAGATCTTTGACTCGCGTGTCTATAAAATGTTGGCCGAAATAAACCTTTTTGAACAAAAAAGAGGAATTTTTGATAGGTGAAAGGTGAAAATGATCGTTAAATTCTTAGACGTCAAAAATGGTAAATAACGGCCTGAGTTATGAGTGCAGGTGTTATTATTTTATAAACAGTCATCGAACAGAGTCGACAAAGAGGTATCAGATGGACACCTCGAATCGGACCTTTCCCGCGACCCGAAAAAGTTTCGTCATGCACCTGGAGACAAAGGAGAAACCAATCGGGAAGCGAGAA